ACACGGTGACAAAGGCAAAAGAGTGATACAGTTTTTGTCTCAGTCTGTGTCCATTTGTTTATCTGTCAGCAAAACATCTCATGTACATCATGATCAGCGTAGTGTTGAACCCAGATGCAGACAGAACTCATGGAAACCCGAAGATAAGTAAAGAAATCATGTATTAAATGCAAAATCAAAGAGCTGATGTGGCTGCGTTGACTTAGAAAAACCAAAGACACGGGGAGGCACAGTGGAAGCTGAGCATGACGCCTTGGGAAACACAATCCACGAATCAGGTGGAAACACAGAGACACTGAACTTAAAGAGACACTAATGAAAATCAATGATGAACACCTGGGGTGATTGGGATTAGGAAGAGGTGATGCAGGAGCTGGCAATATGAGGGGAGAAAACACTGAGGAAACTAGAAACACAGGAAAAAACTCAGAACAAAAACAAAAAAATAATCCCGAGTAGATACAAACACCACGGGCGACTGTGGCTGAGTGGTTAGAGCAGTCGTCCTCCAATGCAAGAGTTGGGAGTTTGATTCCACCAGCAGTCACATGATGAAATGTTCCTGGGCAAGACACTGAACCCCTCATTGCCGCCGATGTGTGTCCCATCAGTGTATGAATGTGATGAAGTATTGATTAGTCTCTTAGAATGATTTGTTCTATTAGCTTTGTATAGATCTAGTAAATTGCTGAATGAATGGGTAAATGAGGTCACAGATAGTAGTGTAAAGAAATTTGAGTGTCTTGATAAGATAGAAAGGCGCTATATAAGTACAGTCTATTTACCATTTACCACAAAACATGACACTGAAATATTGGACAAATCTGAATAAAACTCTCAGAAAACAATCAATAAATGTCCAGCTACATTAATTACCATTTTGTGTCTACTTAGTTCAAAATGGCTTCCACAGATGAACAACTTTAGCAAACACCAGAACAACTATTACTCAGTCAGTTTAACAAACGTTGATCTAACTCTTGGTGAGTTAACAGCTGAGCGGTAATCCAGGACATTTTACAGATTGTGCAAGCTCAAAATGTTGGCATGAAAATATACTTGGGGGAGTGGTGGCGCAGAGGTTAGAGAGGTGGGCCTGTGATCCGAAGATCGCTGGTTCACGCCCTGGCCCCGACAACATCAAAATTGTGGGTGGGGTGGGTGAAACACCCACACTTGCCCCGACCCTCATTCGCCCCACTCTGGGCCCATGAGCAAGGCCCTTAACCCTCACCATGTGCTCCCTAAACAGGTCTCTCTTGAAAATGAGTTCTCGTGGCTCAATGAGACTAACCTGGATAAATAAAGGCTAAATGAAAAAAAAATAAAATAAATACCATACCATACCATACCACTTTATTTATAAAGCACTTAAAGCAGCAACAAGGTCAACCAAAGTGCTGTACAGACAAAACAACAGGTAACACATCAAGCAAAATACAAAATGAGGTAAATCAGATTATAGACAAAAAAAACCCCCAATGCAGATAATGACGACAAACCAGTGTGGAACGTACAGGTTCAAAACAGATCATCTGGTGTTGAAAGCTATTGCATAGTAATGAGTTTTTAAACAGGACTTGAAATATCAGCACGAGTTTTGTTTGCAAAATATCTCATGAACCAGTGGAGAGATTCAAATGAAACTCTGTAAAAGTAATCATAGGATGTGCATCATTCTGCGACTCAACTTGTAGAGTCGATCCATTTCAAGATGGTTGCCAAAGCTACACGACCTTAGCAAACAGGGAAATGGCTGTACCTTCATCAGTGAGCTAAAGTTTGATGTGGAAGTAGCCGAGTCATTTTAACACATGCTAATGGTTTACATGTCTCACAAAATCTTGCAGTGTTACAAGTTAGCACTAGTTTTTTGTTCATTTTGGCATGTTTCGCAGTTTAGCATTTAGTTACCATGGATTTAAAAGCAAGTTTGTTGTAATTTATGTTCCCTTTTCATCATATGCTACTTTAATTTTAGTTTAAAACTGTAGCATGAAAGACAGCAGGTGAAATACAAATCATTTAAAGAACGTAAAGCCTACAATGTTATTCATGTTTTACTGTTAAAATATTTTTTGGTCAAAATACATAATTGTATCTTCTCTCTAAACTCTTGCTTTACCAGACTAATAACCCCAAACTAATAACCCCATTTCTCAGTAAACCTCAAGTAAATCATTTTTGAATTTGTAACTAAAATAGATACTTGTCTTATGGTATGATGCCTTAAAGGAATAGTTTGTATAATTTAAATAATGTATTTTATAGAGGTTAAAAACACATGGTATCTTGTGTGTTGTGGCTCAACAGCCTGAGTATGAAGAAATCTAAATAAGTTCTGAACAGACAGCTCTGAGAGAAGCCAAGGTGAACGTGGATAAATTTTGTCTTAAAACAAACTTAGATCTCAAAAGTTTTATAATTGTGCAAACATTTATGTAAACCTTGATGCCACCATCAGTTTTACATCAGCAATTTAACCTGACTACTACAATTTGTGAATTTTTTTAAAAAAAAATTTAATAAGCAATAATTAATCCATATTCATGATTGTGTCTAAAAAAGTGGCTATTTCAAGAACAGCTAAGTAAACCTTGAGAGTCTGCACATGTGTAAAGTATTGTTCGCCTTCTGGGAACAAAGCTTCAATGTTATTAAAACCTAAACAGAAACATGGGACGAGGGCATAAATTCTGGTTAACTGGCACGGTGGTGCAGTTGGTAAAGCTGTTGCCTCTCAGCGAGAAGGTCAGCGGATCGAATCCCGGCTGGGAACCTTTCTGGTTGGAGCTTGAATGTTCTCTCTGGGTTCTCCGGTTTCCCCCCACAGACCAAAAACATGCATGTTAGGCTGATTGGTAACTCTAAATTGTCCCTAGGTTTGAGTGACAGAGTGAATGGTTGCCGTGTTTGTCTCTATGTGTCCCTGTGATGGACTTGCAACCTGTCCAGGGTGTCGCCCGCCTCTCGCACAGCGACTGCTGGACATGGGCACGAGTGACTCTTGTGACCCGAAAAGGAAGAAGCAGGTAAAAGATAATGGATGGATGGCAAAAATTACCTCTGTAAAAATAAAAAGGGGTTTAAAAACAGAATATTTAAGATTGGGGTCAACTACTAAACCCATGCAGGTCTGTGCATGTGTTTGTGAATTTATCTGCCTTGAGCCTGTGCAGATGTTTCCACAAGGTTAGGCAGGAGAGAAAAATAGTCCAACCCAAGGATGTGAGTGAGATGTGATTGAATGTGTGTGAAGTGTAAGTGTGTGTTCTTCCTCTAGCCCCTCCATGACCCTGTAGCCTGTCTGTCCTCCTTGTATTTTAATCTATCATCACTCCCTTCATTGTCATCCCGTATGCCCGACCTCATTCTTAACTTCCACCTGTCTCTGTGAATTCAACTCTCAGGACTGCCAACTTTCCCCCCACCTCCTGCCGTCTTTCCAAAGCTCACCCTGACACTCTTCCTCTCTCTTCTGCCCACATTTTTTTGTGCACTGTTCAACAGTATTCGAGTCACTGTTTTTCACTACTTATTATTTTTCTCCATGTCTCTTTGCTTCGTTTCCTTCTGCGTTTTCTCCTCTCTCTGACTTGTGGATGCCTCCAGCAGCAGATGACAGACGGCCTTGTGCTGTCGAATGGAGAAACTTTAAGATCTGAGGATCATTTGGCCTCACAAAGACAACCCGCCAACACTACACTTAAAGAGTAATGACTTGCACACCATGGATATTTTCCTCCCTAAGTCTTCTGTTCCTTTCTTGCTCCTCCTGACGTGCACTCAGCTAATCCAGTCTCTTTCCTGTGCAGCATGCTGCCAACTGACCCTTTTCTTGTGTTGCTTTTTAATCAGGTCAGTTCTTTTCTTTTGTTTTTTTTCACCACTCGCTGTTTTATCAGCCTGCTACACTACCCTCACCTCTCACAGTCCCTCAATCTTCTTTAATCCACTGCTGTATGGCAGGAAGGAGAGGATGAGATTGGAGTAAGATGGTGAAGATGTGCTGTGGTTGTAAAAGATTACAAGACTTTAAGGCTTCAGTCCTCCCCCTATACAAAATGCAGTAACTGTACATACAGTGAATGCAGCTGAAATGTTCTGCTGTGACAGGTAATGCTAAAAAAGTCTCTAAAAACACAGAACGTCCTGCTGCTACATTGCTCTTCTTTTTCTTACATTTCTTTTCAAAAATGCAGTCTAGTTTCTAGAATAATTTAATTAAAATGTATATTTTTTGTGCTGAGTAGAAACAAACTTTCTGTTTTCTGAGGCATTTGGAATTTTAAACCAGGAAGTTCTTAACAATATTGAACTTTTGATGAATCGTCAGCTGCTTCTTTTCCAAATTCTTTCATTCAACCTTTATTTAAACAGATAGCCACATTGTCTTGCTTCAAGCTGAATTTGATGTTAGTACAACACTTGGAAAAATGACATTTGATCCTTTCCGTTGCTAAACTAAGAGTTTTTTTTATTATTATTATTTAGCCTTGCTGCTCACTCTACCATATGGAGTTAGGGACGTCTCAAGAAGTATCAGAGGATTTTTCTTTTTTTTAGCTTTCCTTACACTTGCTAAAGGTTGAGGCAAAAACCAAGAAAATAAATTAAATAATGTCTCTAGGAGTTTTGATAAATCAAGCCATTGGCTAGGATCAAAATATGTGGAAGCTTCTTAAAAGTGTATTGTTTTTATAGCACAAGGTAAAAGTATAGGCATTTTAATGCCACAATATACATATTTTCAGACCTTACAGAAGTTTAAATTATGTTATTTTTTATTTATTTTTTTACCCAGAGTTCCAGTTTTTTTAATCCCTTTGTCACCCAAATGATCTAGATCCAAAATGTCTCCCTACTTTCCTTCTATACCTTTGTTCTAAATATTCCCTTTTTATTACAGATGTGTTTGTTCCTCTTCCTCCCCACGTGAAATAGGTTGCCTTTTAAAGCCTTCATGCAAACCTTGATGTTGTTACTTTCCTGTTTTCCAGATCCTTGATGCAGCTGCTCTGCCATATGTGCAGCACAAACACCACCAGAGGGAAGAACCTGGTGAAAACTCAACAAAAAAAAAACGACAACAACGCAGAAAAGGGCCCTCACGCTCATCTCCCTGCATCTCCTGTTTCCTGCACCCATTCCTTTGTTTCTATGGATATTATGGTGTTATAAACCTATAAAATCAGTTTTACTTTCAAGTGCTTATCCTGGTTCACATGTCTGGATTGAAAGGCCAGTCGAGGCCTGGCAACCGTGTGGTCATCTCTAACTTATAATGGAAGAGCATTCTCCATTTTGAAACATCAGTATTAATGTGAAGTGGAAACGCTGAGAGAAAATCATTTGTAACACTGAAAGTGGAAGAAAAATGCATCTCACTCTGTCTGGGGCAGCATCAAGATACAAGGAGAGACACTGAGTGGATGGTAAAAACAGACCCAGAATGAAAGAAAAGGAATGACTGAGCATCAAAGGGATGTTGGATTCATAGAATATCACCCTCAAGCAGCAAGCAGACTGGACATCATGACAGATTTTGCAGAAAAGACAGAAAAGAGATCTTCAAGTAGTTTGGTGTTTGCTATACATTTGACTCGTGACTGCACCTTATTAGTCAAAGTTGAATCACATGGTAAACGTTAATGAACTGGACTGTTCCTTTAGCTGGATCTGGAGCACAAGTGAACTCTGCCATCCCCATATTAGAATCGGATCTCCATAGTACGCAGAAAACCTGAACTTGAATGAGTCTTTGTGGACAGAAAAGAAACCTGGACTCAGAGGAGCATAAATGGAGCGTTACGCTGATCAGCTGCAGGCTAATCTGTACAAGACAACTCTGGCCTGTTTCCAGTTTAATTCTTCTCGTGCTTTCGGCTCTAGATGGGATTGGAGGCGACCTCGTGGAGCTTCACTGACATCTCTAACATCTCCGCAGGCCTGCTTAAACAGGTGAGTAATGTGAAGATTAGCTAATTAACCTTTCTTTAAAAAAAAGAACAAAGTGAGAAGCTCCAACAAGCCAAAGACCATAGCTCAGTAATTACAGTGGCATATGGTTCCCATCAGCAGTCATCGTGGGCAGCCACTAATATTGGATCCAGCCCGATAGTTTAGAATACATTCAGACTATGTTGTCTCAGCTACACTGAGAGGTCTGTAACCTAATGAGGGTAACACTTTAACGAGCCCCTTCCTAATTGCTGTCAGCCAGAAAATTAGAGAACCTCCCCGGATAAACGATCTGTTTCATTAGTACTTTCTGGTGACAATGTCACCGCATCCCCACTTCAGTTTGTTTCTTGCTCTTTTTAGCGTCTTTCTGACTATTTCTCAAACACCTCTCTGTTTTTTCATTCATTTTTTTTTTCCTGCCTGAGGCAGTGATTTAAAACCAGTGGAGAATTTAATGTGTTAAAAAAGGAAATGATTATGTCAGAATAGTACAGCCTTAAGGAAGTACTTTGGCTGTACAAGAGGAGGTCAGCAGTATCTATTAGTCAAATAGAACAGAGACTGATGTCTTATTCTGGAAAATTGAACATCTCATCTTGCTTTCAAATTGAAATTAGCCTCTTAATAGAGGTAATCAGCAGCAAATTTATTATCCCAATTTTACTTAATTGGATGGAAAACTGTTGATACTATTTAAACATGAAGTTATAAATAAGAATATGTGCCTAAATAGGAAAAAAAAACAGTATTGAACATCATTTTTTATAATTAAATAATAAGGCTTATCCACTTGAACAATTTGCACTTACAGAAATGCCACTTGTCATGTTGAGTCACTAGCACCCCTATTGTTTTAGTGGGTAATAATACAAAAAAAAAAAAACAGTTTTCACTACTGTGCAACAAAGGACAAATAATTTCAGCAACCTGCTCATTAGAGGTTCATAATCCTTTCAAGTACATGTGTCCACTTATATTACCTTTAGTGAATTTAATACTGTAAACACATGCATGCTTTTAAGGTCACAGTGTAATTATTACTGTTGTTAATCTTACAGTACCTGCCAACAAGCAGCTTCTCTAACAACAATTATGTGTAAATCCCAATTTAATACATAATTTCAGAGTGGTATCATACAGTATAACTACTGAAAGTAAATCATTTTCACTTTCTTAGCCGCACTTTGAAACAAAGTTTAACTTAATTTTCATGTAGAACTAAATAATAAGAGCACACCCACATACCGTGAACTCTTACAAGAGGTTTACTGAATGAGGAAAAACTGAAAGATTGTAGGTGTGGGCCAAAAAGAAAGGTAGAAGGAATGTCTTATGTGGCTTCACCCTTTTTTATTTTATATTCTCATGTAAATATAACTGTTAAATTAATACCTTATTTTGTAACTTTTTTGGATAATTTACTTTTAATTAATTACCATCATAGAGTGCGTAGTCCTTAACGCTAACAGCCTGGAATTGACACTCTTAGTAATATTTTTTTTTTTTCTGTGGGACTGGGAATTTGCTTGAGTGCTATTGCCCATTTCTTAATGTATTTCCAAACTTAAGAGCGTCAGTGTAGAAATATGAATGTAGAATTACATCGCTCGGGGTGGCTGCATGTTGGAGCAGCTCTATTCCATTCATTCTGAGAATTTGCTTTTGGAAACTTTAATTTCTCTTTTGCTGGATGCAAGTCACATTTTTCAAATGATTGTTTCCTCTGGTATCAGATGCTGTGCAGCTGGAAGGGTTTTTACTAAAAGTTTTTTTTTGTTTTGGGCATTTGTTATGATGCGTAACCATAATAACAAAGTGTTCTTTTTTTTTATACAACCGAGAGCAGCGGATTAACACCTCAAAAGCTCAAATAATATTTCAGCTACAGCCCCAAATCTCAAATGAGTTAAAAACCAGGTGCCATAGATGCATTCCCATCTCCTTGCCAGCTGTGCTCGAGTGCCTGACCACTGAGATCCTGAAACTGGCAAGAAACATGGCTCGTGACAGAAGAAGGAGCAGGACCATCCCCCAGCACCTGCAGCTGGCTCTCTGCAATGACAAGGAGCTCGGCAGGCTGCTGGGAGGAATGGCCATCGCTCTGGGAGGAGTTCTGCCCAGCATTAGGGCAGTCCTGCTGCCCAGGAGGAACTGAGAGGCCAGCCAAGTCTGGGTGGACAGACCGGACGGGATCTGCGGCCAGTCTCCTTGGATCCGCTGTGGGACAGACCTTTACAAGAGATCCTTCATGCCTACAGCCATCAGTATCTATAACATCTCTTAATGAAACAAGGATAATGAGTTACAACAAGTTAATTTCCCTTTGAGATTAATAAAGTATTTTTTTGTCCTTTAAGCACTTACTTCATCAATACTGTATTGAAAATCGTAGATTTTGCTCCTCGTTAGTGATTGAATGAAAGTTGGACACGATGCCATGAGAAAGGATTGAAATGAAATATTATTTTTACTTCTAATATTATTTTATTTCACTATGACACAAGGTGCAATATTTAACAATGGTTCACAATGTTTATTTTTGCTTCTAAAGGTTCTCAGCTGAGTCAAAGGATACAATAGTTGTCAGTCATGATTGATCATTGCCATGCAGTCTTGCTACAGTGATTCTCATTGATCACTTAAAAGAATAGTCCAGATTTTTTGATGTGTGATGTTGTGGACAAATATATATATATATATATATATATATATATA